TTTCATACAGAAAAATTCATTTTTAATACAATTGACACTAAGATGCACATGCATTTCTAATCTCTATATATCTGATTATTACTAGTCACAGTCGGTTAACTTTGTTTTTTTGCAGACAAGAAAACCTTTTATTTTAAAACCACAAATAGCAGGTGGCCACAACTACCCATGTTTCATTAAAATCACATAAAACCTAGGTACAAAGCACCACTGATTATTTCTCTAGAAAATACCACAGTAAGCATAGGACTACATTTTAAAATATTTTATTTTTTATTTTTATTTTTATGTGTATGAATATATTGCCTGCATGTATGTAAGTGCACCCATGTCGTGCAGTGTCCGTGGAGGTCAGAAGAGGGCCTCAGATCCCCTGGAACTGGAGTTACAGATGGTTGTTAGATGCCATGTGGGTGCTGGGAATTGAACCCAGGTCCTCTGCAAGAGTAGCCAGTGCACTTGACCTCTGAGCCATCTCTCCAGCCCCAGGACTGCATTTTTAAAGCAAGGGCATGGAATGCCGAATCCATTTTATTCACACCTGCCAATATTACCTCGATTTTTATTTTACTTGAGTGTGATGAAAACTTCCAAAAAGCATCACTATAAGAGGGTAAAATGACCGTTTTTATTTTTGTCAACTAATAGGGTCAACCCCAGTCCTCCACCACAGTTCATTCTTCCCGGTCTCTGCAGATTCAGGTTTCTGTGCTTCCTCAGCTTTAGTGTCACCTTCCTTTCCAACTTCCTGCTTTTCCTCCTCCTTCCCTTTAGCGCCTCTGCTCATCTTTGCTCCGGATTCTTTCTTCGCAGACGGTTTTCTTGGTTCAGGCTCCGGATTTGGTGGAGCTGGTTTTGTTGACATAAGATGGCAGACCATCTTACAGGCTCCTGTCAGTTAGTTTGTCCCATCTTTGCCCTCTGTATTGTCTGGAGACTTTCTCTTCTGCATAATGAAGAAAAGTTAGTGCAACAAAAAGTAAAGCCACAGCCTAGGCCAGCTGGCACTGCTAGATGCTGCTGGATGCTGCTGGATGCTGCTGGATGCTCAGCTGCTCCCACCTGAGCTCAGCTAGCACAACCTCTCTGACCCACTCCATGATTTTAACTTTGAGCAACCATGAGTTCTGATTCATTAGATCAGAGCACCCAAGTTCTCTTACCCTGTAAGTTCCCTCTCAGGGCAGGTTCTTTGAGGAACCCACAAGGCTCTCTCTGTGCCATAGACAGCAAGTGCCATGTGCTTAAAATACTCCATCTGCCCATGCATTTCTTTTTTCTCTTTATAAAAGGCCTAACTATATTTTTGAAAAAAAGAAATAAATAAAAATAAACAAAATAAAATAAATTTTCAGTGTAGTAGACAAAGGTAAACATTGCTATTTTACTATTTTCAGTAATCAGTATTTTATATAGCCTATGTCTATGCCATAAAAATGCAAAACATGATTTCTGAATTTATTTCCATTGCATTTTTCTATTGAATATTCTGTTGTGAGCATTTTTCCACTGTTACATACTTTTGTAGAGTTTTTTTAAATAAATA